TCAAGATGAGGTCGACTATGGAGCATGCACACTTATAATAATAATGCCTATAGACCCTCGAAACTCGAATTAAATTGAATTGACTTGAAACGGTCCACGTTAATAGAATATTCTTACGTAGCCGTTCGCCATATAAATGTTGACATAGGGGAAGAACACCAGTACGTCTTGTCACCCGATGATGGAAAGGGGACGGCGGAATTAAATCGTGTAATTCCATCGTACACTCTCTGTGATAAATCCTATGAAATACTGATAAGCAGGCAACTTTACGGCGGTGATCAAGGCTGATTTGTACATCATGTTCAGAGCAAGGAGCAATTTTATACTATTTCGGTACTTAATGCCTAATTGAAATATACGTAAACAAATGTGTGAAAACATAAGAATTAATTTTTAATTAGAAAAGTGAAAGATTTACCTTGAAGTCATCAGTAATGAAAAACAATTGAGAAAATGTCTCCAAGCCTCTCAGAATACCCCAAATCGAAGAGCTTCTTAAATTGGACGTTGATGAAACGTTGAGATAATCTGAAACAAAAGCAAGAATCTTGGATACTCATTTATCTTCAACGACTTTCACGAAACTAAAGAACTTGACGGCGCTGTTAGGCAGCTCCTGAATTAATCCTTTAGTCGCTTGTTAATCTTGTTATTCGAAATATCGACAGTGATTACATTCGTAATACGAGAAATTATTAGTATAATTGATCTCGTAAAGCAATTCAGAAATAATACATTCTTTGACACAGCGTAGCGCGTAAATATAATCAAGATGTGACAGGAATTATTTATATACATATTTTTATATTTTATTAGGCTAAGGTAAGAAAATTAAATTAAATTGTATCTTTCGTCATTTATGTAGTGGTGAAATTGGCAGTTATAAAAGGTATAAATGTAATAGGTGAGTGAACCTAAAACGTAATATAAATCGGCAATCTATTGTTTTGTCGCTTAACAATAAAACAATAATACGTTACCTATCGGAATGTAAACAAGTACTTATATCTGAACGTGTTTAGCAATAAATGCGTTCAAGAGGCCAGATCGACATACTTAAGAAATATATTGGGAGTGCTACAGGGAAGCGTATTGGGTCCTCTTCTTTTTATAATTTATATAAATGAACTGCCATATCTTACTCAGTATTATGCACGCTTTATACCAATTATGTACGCTGATGATGTCACAATATTATTTGCTAACAACGAAAAAACAAAAATTGACTACGAATTTGACATAAACAATACATTGAAAGGTCTTACTACCTGGCTTAAATCACTAAATTTAAAAATAAATAATTCTAAAACAAAATATATGCAGTTTGGTAATTACAAAAAAAATCACTTAGATTTACACATAACTTGTGAAAATGACGTTATTGATGAGGTAAAAATAATACTAAATTTCTTGGTATTACTATAGATAAAAACTTAAATTGGAAACATTACGTAGATGTGCTAAATAACAAACTGTGTAGTTATTGCTACGCTTTATCTGCATTGGTCGATGTAGTGTCGGCTGAACTTGCAAAAAACGCATATTACGGGAACGTATAACCGTTACTATATGGTGTAATTTCTTGGGGAATTCAAATTCAAATTCAAAATAATCTTTATTTCATAGGTAAGCATTATTACACTTGAAATCGTCACAATGGTTAAACTCTACCGCTCATTCGTAAGGCAGATTCCCCTGAGAAGAATGAGCAAGAAACTCTAGGGGTTGCTCTTTGTAAATAACATTTACAATTTATTTTTTTTATTTGAAACATCAGAGATCGAGACTACCTCCATGAGCTAAACGGGTTACTACCACGGATTTTTGTCATCCAAGTACGCAGAAGTTGTATAATAACCTTTAGTATAAAGTTTTTGTTTCACTATAGTTTTAAACCTCGTGAAAGGCAAATTTTGTATATCAACCGGAATCTTGTTATAGAAGCGTATACATTGCCCCTTAAATGATTTTTTTACTTTGTGACGACTATCAAGAAAAGCTAGTTTATTTTTATTCCTCGTATTAATGTTATGTTTGTCACTATTTTTCATAAAGAAATTACTATTCCTTTTAACATAAATTACATTTTCATAAATGTACTGTGAGGCTAGTGTAAGAATCTTAATTTCCTTAAACTTATCTCTCAAAGATACTTTGGGGCCCAGATTGTAAATTGCCCTAACTGCACGTTTCTGCAGGACAAAGATTTTATTGATATCGGCGGCATTACTCCAAAGCAAAATGCCGTATGTCATTAGACTGTGAAAGTAGCTGAAGTAAACCAATCTAGCGGTTTCGACGTCTGAAAGTTTCCTTATTTTTTTAATCGCGTACACTGCAGAGCCGAGCCGTTTTGATAACTTACTTCTATGGGGACCCCATTGCAATTTAGCATCTAACGTTATACATAGAAATACAACTGTATCCACAAGATACAATTTTTCGTTTCTAACTACAATGTTTGTAACCGTCTCTTCGACATTGGGTAATGTAAATTTAACACAATTTGTTTTTTTCTCATTAAGAAGTAGGTTATTAACAGCAAACCAATCTACTACTTTAGATATAGCATTGTTCACATCGTCGTAGGAACATTGGTGCCTTTTAACTTTAAATAATAATGAAGTATCATCAGCATACTATCTCATGTTTTATACCCTCCATAAGGCTAGGTAAGTCATTAATATAAACTAAAAACAAAAATGGGCCTAGAATTGAACCTTGAGGGACACCCATGCTAATGGGTGGGAAGACCCTGATGATCTCGTACCGTTAACATCGACCCTCTGTACCCTACCACGCAAATACGATTTAAGAAGGTCGAGATTACGTCCCGCCACACCTTAATGGCGAAGTTTCCTAACCGTGTACACACAATCAAAAGCCTTGGAAAGGTCACAGAATACACCAATAGCATCATGTGAGATTTCTCATGCATCAAATATATGATTAATCAACTCGACACCAGCGTCGGTTGTAGAGCGACCCCGAGTGAAACCAAATTGTTTAGGAGACATTAAGTTATTACTATAAAAATGTGCACACATCTGATTTAGAATATTTTTTTCAAATATTTTACTGAGCGTTGGTAGTATTGATATAGGTCTGAAATTGGTGGGGCCAGAAATACTACCAGATTTGAAAAGTGGAATAACTTTACTTTGCTTCATGAGGTCAGGAAAGACACCATCATCAACTCATTTATTAAAGACACAGGCTAAGTAAGGCGCAATACAATCAACTATAGAACTAATTACTCTGACTGAAAGACCATCAAGATCAGCAGTATTTTTTATGTTTATAGACTTAAAGGCTTTAACAATATCGTTTGGAAATACATAACGGAACCTTAAACTAGTGATACTAACTGCATTATTTTCTTTTAGTAAGGATTCAGCGGCGGTGGGAGATGAATTTAACGACTTAGTAGTCAAAATTGGAATGTCGGTAAAAAAATTTTTAAATATTTTAGCAACTTCTGCGTCTGTGTTTACAATTTTGTCATTAAATCTTAGTTGAAAATCTAAGTTACGAGGTTTGACCCTTCCAGTTTCGCTGTTTATAATATTCCAAGTCGTTTTTACTACATTCGGGCTGCTTTTTATTTTACTATTTATAAACATTGCTTTGGCTGCAACACAAACACGTTTAAACATTTTCAAATATTTCCTAACAAAATCATTAAAACTGTTACTAGTGTTATAAGTCCTTTCATCGTAAAGATCATATAGCCTTTGTCTAATTTTGTGAATTCCCACAGTCGCCCAATCACTAAATTTCAATGAATTATTAATAGTAACGATTTTGGACCTAAAAACATTATCACGTTCACTTTTCACTATGTTGAAAACTGAATTAATCAATTTATTGGGATCGTTAACGTACGGAATATCAGTTAGTTTAAGCATTACATTATTTCTATAAGCTTTATGTCGACCATTATTTATCGGAACACATGTGATATCCTTTGTTGGCATTTTGTCAACAGTTATATTAAAAGTGGCTAATTGACCGCAGTGATCAGAAGTTAATTTATATATAATAGATTTATTACTAGGTACGGCGTTAGTATAAATGTTGTCTAAACAAGTGGTAGTAGTAGAAGTTATTCTAGTCGGAAACACTAAGAAAAGATTCACAAGATTATAATATTGGAAAAATGATATGAACCTACTGCTAGCACTGGAATTTTCTAAGTTAACATTGAAGTCACCACAAACAGCAATATATTTATTTGGATTATTTAATTTGCCTAAATTTTCATCTAATCTTTTTTCAAATATGTAGTTCGTAAGATGAATGAGGGGGTCTGTACACGCTTAATATAACAAGCCGTTCAAGCTCTATGCAGGATATCTCTATAGTCCGCTCAATAGATAGGCTCACCATATCTGTACGTTCTTTAAACTCTGTCAATGCTGTTAAAATAGTCACAATACAAAAACGATGCTTACGCATAATCTGTTGTAAATCCAGTGATTATTCTTTAAGAAATCTGTACAAAGAAAAGGGTTTCCTGACTTTAACAGGAATATATATTTTGGAAATATATATTTTTGTACGTAATTACAGTAACTACTAAACTATCTAATGTACACTACGTTAACGTCAGAAACAAGGACCGTCTTGTCCTCCGTAGAATAAACAGCACGATCTTTCACAGCAGTACCTATGTAACAGCGATCAGAATTTACAACAGACTTCCAATGGAAATGAAATGTTTAAATTGTGATAAATTTAAAACTTGTTTAAAAAAATGGTTAATTGACAAAGTTTTTTACAATCTTAACGAATTTTATATAAAGACATCAAATATTTGACAATTCTATAATTAACTTAATCATAGTTTTCATTTTTGACATTTAAGTTGTAATCAATTTTAATTGAATTGTAATTTTAAGATATAGTACGCTTGATTGGGTAAGAATTGTGGATCTAATCACTTGTAAGTAACACCTGTATTTTACCAATTCATACAATAAACGTTTCTGATTTTTGAACAAGCCCGGTTTCAGTAAAAGATGAGGTTACATATTTATTGTTCATTGTTGTGCACAATAATAGCAACGCTGACTATTCGCCTGTGAATTGTGTAATGATTGTAACGAAGTACGAAGTTAACGTACAAAAAATAACGTAATCAACTGAAATCTAATTAAATAATAATATATATCGTATTGTATACCAGCCATAACATTAAAATTACTTTATTTTCTTCTAGCATTCATGCGTATCTCATATTTCAAAGCGTTTCACACAACGCACACGATGCGACTCTGTGCGCCTCGGTGATGGAGCTTAACCCTTGCCTAATGCTGTGCCGGCCCCTTTAACGGGTTAAAATGTAATCTATGATTTATTCCGGTTGAGTTCCGAAGGCCTTTTTACGCCACATAATGGATTAGGTTATCATTATGCCTTTTTAGCTACAGCTTTTGCATCTGCATAATACCAAGTTCACAGAAATTGTAGCTTCAGCACTATCGAAAAGTTTACGTCGTCGAAACAAAAACAACAAATAAAACAAT